TATGTAAAACTGAAATTTCTAGAAAGCCTCCACACACCTATACATATAACCAACGCGATGCGACAGAAAGAAAAGTATCTATTATTAGTCAGTGCTATAGTCAGTGTGCTATAAACTTTGGAAGCTATAATTGTGATTGCTATAACGCTTACCAATCAGAAAACTTCAGATATTTGACCAGGAACCTTTACAAAGTTTGAACGTTACAAATCGTTTAACTTCAGTGGATTCTCATCGGACATTAGTATTTTTACGAAAACATTTTACAAATTCATCGTGGAAAACTCGACGTGTGTGACCGGTAAATAATGAAGGACAAAGCTAATTAGCTTCCCATTAAGCGAATCGTACCTACATCAAGTCATAATTAACTCGCTCATTGTAAACCCTTGATAAGATATCAAGGAGGTTCCAGACTAGAAAGAAGACTTTATATTGCTTGTACGTTTGTGAAACGTTTGTTTATAAATCATTGTTTGTAATAACTGTTATTGTAAATTGTATTGTTGTGTGTATATTAAAACGTATTTGTGTTAAAAAAGAAAACTGTGTGTATAAATCTTGTTGGCAAATATCATAAACTGACTATATATATATTGGCTTTTACTTAACTGCTAATTCCAAAGTGCAATTAAACTATAAAATTTAAAGTATCATTTAACTCAATTTCAGACCAGTTGAAATTCTAATACTAACAATGATCATTCCTAAACATTTTCCATCCAGCTATCTATATCTACCTGTTTTTAAACCTCATGCTTTCCTTTGATGATTTATTTCCTGCTAATATATATATATATATATTTGTTGTCAACTCGTAGGATTTCCAAAAATATTCATTCATTCAAGTCTAGTTAGCGTTCAGAAAAGTTTGCTTTTAGACATTACTTTGTTCTGTATTTATTTGGTCCTGTTTTCTAGACTTTTAATCAAAACAGATTAATTTAAAGCCTTCAGAGTTTGTGTTTTACAACAAGTGAATAGAACGTTATACCGGCCTTTGTATCAGTATCTCATACATTTAACACAAACCTTTCAGAACGCATTTCTATCAGCTGTAGTCTCCATGTGGGAAATAAGCTACAGTAAGCTCTTCGTGTACATTGGATCCCCTTGTAATACAGTCAAGCTAATTAAATACCAGTTTCAAACCGTAAAGCAGGCATGTAAGGTTCAATAACGTTGTTACACGCATAAGGATGCAATCGAAATTTGATTAATCTTACCATTTTACTACAGCCGTACTTAGGGATTATGTGCACAGAAATAGAATATCTATCAAACGCATTAATTCATTAAATGCAAATACCGAACTCCGTTTCAGTCACTTTGACAACTATTCAGTTGGTACAATGAATTATACATGTTAGTGTGTAATCGTAGAACAATAAGGCAGACTAGGAATTGTTTGAATGAGAATTCCTGTTAATTTTATTTCAATGTGTCAAATAAACAGCAAATGCAAAGACGCTCGACTCGCAATCTTAGGGTCGCGGGTTCGAATCCCCGTCACACCAAACATGCTCGCCCTTTCAGCCATGGGGGCGGTATAATGTGACGGTCAATCCCACTATTCGTTGGTAAAAGAGTAGTCTAAGAGTTGGCGGTGGGTGGTGATGACTAACTGCCTTCCCCCTAGTCTTACACTGCTAAATTAGGGACGGCTAGCGCAGATAGCCCTCGTGTAGCTTTGCGCGAAATTCAAAACAAACTATTGTTTACCTCTTTATTGCAGTCACTTTATACAAGGTTAAAAGTGCGTAGGTTCCTTCTCGTCCTCACCGTATCAAACATACAGAAATTTTTGAAACTATTTTGATTGTTGTTATTATAGCCAGTTCCAAAAAGAAAATTATAATTGTTGATTAAATAAATCACTGCAAATATAATTATCATTTGTTGATTTTTATAATGTTTCGGACGCGAGACAGCTTCGCTCGGCTAAGCTGAACTCACCATAGTACAAAGATTGACAAGGTTTTCACATTCATATAGGAACCAGTCATTTTCGCATCAGACTTGTTATAGGTAAATTGTATTTTAATTATATTTGTTTCAAGTTGACAAAAGTCGTCCATTGATGAATATTGTAGCAATATGGTTATTATTTTCTTAGAGTAAAAGCGGTAAACACCAATTCAAAGCATAGTTTACCCAACACAAGAATAATTGTATTAAGTTAATTGCTAGTTGTGCCTGAAGATAATCAACTAAAATGGATCGAAAAGCATATTCCTGTATTTTTGATCAGTTTTTCTGTCAGTGTTTCCGACATTACAAAGACTGTTAACATAGTATCTTGTTTAACTTCTAATGACTCATTATATAAGACTAACTGTAAACATAACATCCTTTTTTTTTTACTTCACTGATCTACCAGTGAACCTGGTAGGTTAACAATGTCAAAAGAGTTTACTTACATATTAAAGTACTAGCTGGAATACCCGTCTGTTGGATGGAGAAAATAAAAACTCATTTGTAACAAAGGATAGGAAATTGTGCTTTTATTTTTTTTCTTAACAAAATATACATTAAAAGTGAAATAAAAATACATAAAGGTACCAATACTGAAGAGGAAGACATACTGTTTTTAAGAATTCTATCAAAATGTGATTAAACAGTTCATTCTAATGCTGATGGATATACAGCATTGGTAGTTTTTCCGAAAGTAGATGGAGTCTATCTAATCCCCCATGACTTTCCTCACGTCATGCTGTATCACTGTGTTAAGTTTGATGCTGAATGGTCAAGAAATGTGGAAATGTATAAGGAACAGATACACACACACAGATTGACATTCATTTTTATATATTACAAAGAATGATGATGGGATCATGCTCTTAGTTATTTTGATAGGTAAAGAGAAAGAAGAATCGTTTTCGGACAATACAAGTTGATTTGTTGCAGATCAGAAGAGGCCTATGCTAATCTTTAATAATGAATAAGCAGATTACCTAATGTTTAAAAAACTTAACATCGCTGTTTATATGATAAAATTGTTGCAGATCAGAAGAGGCCTATGCTAATCTTTAATAATGAATAAGCAGATTACCTAATGTTTAAAAAACTTAACATCACTGTTTATATGATAAAATTAATGTAATTGATTCATTAAGCATCTCCAATAAGAACGACAACTAGCGTAACAAATGATAATTAGTATTTCAAGTTAGCGCGAACAATCCTGACACACGTGCTCAAGTACAAACAGATGGGTTTCATAACGGCTTTCTTTTCAGGTACTGATTCCAACTCACCCTTATTTAGCTATAGGAGTAATTACGTACAATGTGCGGAATGTTCTTGAGGGAAAGGAGCTACGAAAACTTGAGAAAACAAGGCTCAATTATGACACTCATTTCACTACAGGGCTTCTTGTCATTCTTGTAAACTTGCGCGTAAGTTTAAAAAGAATCAAAATAACAAAAGAATAGATATTTATTATATACCACTGTCTCACTTGAATGCGATTGACTGGATAAGACTTGGTTAAAATGATGTGAGAAGCTTTGGTATTTAAATTACAAGGTTTAATACACGCAGAATACTAGAAGATAAGTAGTGAGAATTTGTGTATGAATTTGTACAGTGGATTACAAAAAATAAAAAGCGTAAGAGAGATAATAATAATGTCAAATGAATTACAATACAGTATTTTTTGTGAGACAAAGTATTATGACTTGTAACTATAGTCCAAATAAATAAGTTTGTAAATCATAAAATATGGCCGAGGAGGTTGTCCTAAATGATTGATATAAATGTTAAGTTTTCTATGGCTAGCCATAGATTGGACTCTTATTAAACTTTGGATCCCCTGGTGGGTCAACGATAAGTTTACAGAATTACAACCCTAAAATCAAGGGTTCGATTACCTGCGATGGATATAGTGCATATAGCCTATTATATAGCTTTGCACTAAGAAACCAATAACAACATTAACTTTTGGTGAATAGAAACACCGTAAATATACTATTATAAGATGTTTTATTTTGTGCATGTTTAGTAGAGTTTGTTTGTTTGTAATTAAGCACAAAGCTACACAATGGGCTATCTGTGCTCTACCCACCACGGGTATCGAAACCCGGATTCTAGCGTTGTGCGTCTGCAGACATACAGCTCTGCCACTGGGGGGCTGTTCAGTAGAGAATATAACGTTTTTAGATATTTGTTGCCTAATGCTTTAAAAAGCTAAGCTGTGAAAAGATATGACTACATGTCAGTCAGTTGAAGTTATCCTGTCAACTGTACCTATTTTCTTTTTACCTGTTGAGTTACGAAAATTACTTGTTTGTTTTAGAGTTTTCGCGCAAAGCTACTGAAGTATTATTCGCGCACAGTCGTCACTAATTTTGAACTCACAAGTTAGAGGGAGGACAGATAGTCAACAGCATCTACCGTTCACCCTTGGTGTAGTCTTGTATGATTGAATAGTGGAATTTAATCCTCGCTCTTACGGTGCACCCTCGGCCCCGAAGTAAGGAGCGTGTTTTTGCGACAACAAGATGCGAAACATAAACCTTCAGATTCATAGTGTGGGCATGCTAACATTAAGTCACGCCTGGTCAGAAAATGATTTTATTTGCTGTATAATGAATATTGTGGAATGCTGGAATTTGATTTTAACGCCTTTTTGTTTTCAACAAATTTGTGCTAACGCATTTTTAGAGAGGATTCAACTAAGTCCCCAATTATTTCAAACAACTCTAAGAAAGAAATCATTCCGTTGTTACTGACAATTTTTATTTACGAAAAATATTTCTGTTGATAACGTTTTTATGTCATGATATTAAACATGTTTCCTTTCAGTGTTCACCTAACAGACAACAGAGAAATAGTTATATTACTATGGAAAAAACGTTAGAATTTGGTTGGTCTGACATTTCCAGCTTCAACGCCATCTTGAGGCTATTGCATCGTCCCACTGATCCCGCTAGTTTGGGGGTTACACGGTTTTTATTCGGTGAGCGAAGTTAATCTTTAATCCTTCTGTATGTACATTTGAAGAAAAAAAAAAGAGAGAAAAATCTTCGTAATATCTTGTTATGTTCTGAATAATTTGTATAAATTCTAGAATTAATATATCAACTAAAGTTACTCTCAGATACTATATAAAGAAGATTTAAAGTCTAGTTATGATAGTACATATGTACACTTTACCTTTCACATATACGTTCTCCCGATTTTAGTTTATTAGAAATTTTTATTTACAAATACAAATTCATCTTCAGGTGTACTTTTCCCCATATAAGATGAAGCTTATTGAAATCGTAAAAACAAGCTAACCCTAAACGTGTACCTATAGAAAATCTCTTTATGAAAAATAATGCTGTTAGTGCTAAACGATTTCCTTTTATCCGAGCTTTAAACTATTAATAAATGTAATAACCTATTTTTTCTGTTTCGTTTGCCTAATAAACTAAAATCAGCCACGTTGTTACCAGGAGAATAACATTTTATCCACTATGTTTTATTCTCTATTTCAACCAAAATCTTCTTTGTAATCACGAATATGTTTTGAGGGCATGTTAAGTACTTCATAACTATGGGAGAAGCTAACGACCAACAACTAACTGAAATCTAGTAGAATTGTGTACTTCTGTACTATATCGCTAGACTATAAACCTTCTTACATAGTATCTGAAAGTAAAGTTTAGTTGATATTTTAATTCCAAAAATAGTGCTACACATAATACTAGTGTTATCTAAGTTTGTTAAAAGTAGACGTCAGGATAACGTTTCTATTGTAACAATTTTGAGCAATTTAAATTATATCGTAGCGATATTTTCTCAATAATAATTAAACACAAAGTCAAATTTACTTTATACAGGTAAATGTTCTGAAAATTAAAGATGCGTTACTGTTAGAGAAATTTTATTTACATCTCATACCCTCTAATTTTATGTCACAAGTTGCATAAAGTTTGTGTTTCTTTCATATTCTCTGGAAAGATAAATAGCTGGATGTACATCACTTAATCACAAGTTTTAGATTGTGAGAACTTTAAAATGTTAAGTGTTATTTTTGTCAAGATAACCTTCCTCCAATAGGCTTAATGATGATTATGGATATACCAAACGAAAGAGGACTGGCTAACGCCGATATCATGTGGGGTGACCCATGGGAATGCCGTTTTCCTCTTTTTAATACTCTGCGCCCTCTACCGTTGGAGTGGATGTATGTAACATACTTCATTATGCTAACAGGTTGGTGAAGTAGTTTTTGAAGCTTATTATTTCTTGCTCTGATATATCTCGTTTTCTAACATACCAAAATAATTTGTTGAAATCCACCTACCTGTTTACAAGAAACACAACAATCAAATTATATTTACACACATTGAAAATATCACTTCATACTGAACTAATATCAGTTTTCATGTGTTATTATAAGATTGTTCGAAATATTATATAAAATGGAATTATACGAAAAATCATAAAACCATAGACGATTCATTTGGTATTACGTACTATCAATGTTGAACAAAACTATAGACGATTCATTTGGTATTACATACTATCAATGTTGAACAAAACTATAGACGATTCATTTGGTATAACGTACTATCAATGTTGAACAAAACTATAGACGATTCATTTGGTATTACCGTACTATCAATGTTGAACAAAACTATAGACGATTCATTTGGTATTACGTACTATCAATGTTGAACAAAACCATAGACGATTCATTTGGTATTACGTACTATCAATGTTGAACAAACCATAGACGATTAATTTGGTATTACGTACTATCAATGTTGAACAAAACTATAGACGATTCATTTGGTATTACGTACTATCAGTGTTGAACA